GGGTTAAAAACACAAGCAAGCTGCAGGGATTCCCCCAGGGCTTCTGACTCTCTGAGTCTTACATCAAACCAAAGCTACTTCTCTAGGATAAATATCTAAACACAAGAGAAGCCTTCTGTTTCCCTAATGGTGAATAAACTAAAGGTAAAGAAGGTCAAATTTACAGAGCTCTTCTTAGAAAATCAGGAGACTATTTGCTTCTGCAATAATTTTTCTTTCTTCTTCATGGTGTTTATAACAGTAATGGATATGAAATAGCAGGGAAATACAGTGAACTTTTTTATTAAAAATAAAATACTGATCAATAAATTATCACTAAGTATAGATTATGGCATATCTATCACTATATTCGAAAGCTCCTTGTACTGAAATCGGATACCACGTGGAGCAGAGCATTACTTTTTATCACACGTAGGAGAATGACAGCTGAACTACGGTTTCTGAACTGGCTAGACGTTTTCCTCCTTACCATCAGTGGAAAAGATAAACTAACCTCTCCATTCATCTATCAAAGGAGTGAGATCACTGCCAGAAACTACACTGCCTGCTGTTAGTAGCAACAGTTTTGAGATAATGGGAAGTTCATCAATTCCTATGGGAAATATGAACAGCCTCTCCTTGGATGAGGCCATTGTGAATGTCATTACGTCACTGTTGCCGGCAAATGGATTTGAATTCAAAATGTTGCTTTATCCAATGGACCAGAAATGAAACCCCCAGAAAATATATTTACATATATAGGCTTTTAAAACTCTCTATACTTTCTGCACCTATAGTATTGGTTTTTACACTACATAAATATACAAATTCATACACACACGTTTGAAAATGACTAAAGAAAATACCTCAGCATTCATTTTCTTATTAGCCTTTTCAGCCTCCTTTTGTTGGGAAAGTTGATGGGCCAGGATTTCATCTTGTATTACTCTGGCATTCTGCGCTCGAGAAAGTTGTCTCTGAGTGTCATTTCGCTCTTCTAAAACCTGGAGACATTATTTCATTAGGTTTTGGGTTTTATACCATGAAAAAAAGTAAAAAAAAAGCTTAGGAGGGGAATCTTTAAAAAAAATTTTTAAAAACTGTTAAAAAGAAGTAGCCTTTTTAAGCACAGTGATCTTTATCACACATAAATAACTCAAATTCTAATATATATGACAGCTAAATTTATCGCAGAACAAATGTAGTTTCATGAAAGAAAACTTTTTTTAACACTATATAAATTGAGTTATAGTCATTTTACAATGCTGTGTCAAATTCCAGTGTAGAACACAATTTTTCAGTTGTACATGAACATATATATATTCATTGTGACTTTTTGTTGTTGTGAGCTACCACAAGATCTTGGATATATTTCCCTGTGCTATATATAGTATAGTTTTGTTTATCTATTCTGTATATGCCTGTCAGTATCTACAAATTTTGAAATCCCAGTGAAAGAAAATTTCTTTGTAAGGCACTTAACCAGTTCCATCACAGTCTCAAGGCATTTAGCTGGGATTTTAACTTCAAAAAGCCAAAATTAACACATGGATTTGAATTAAAAGACTTGTTACTTTGTTGAATGGACCAAAACCCTCAATCCTTATCTTAATGATTAAGCTCAATTTAACTTCCATTCCTTCATTCAGAAGACACAGAGCATCTATTAGATGCCAAGAACACCAAGAAATTAGTAAGTTAAGCTCTAAATGTCATAGCTCATATTTAGGATGAGATAAATTTTATTTGTTTTAAATGAAAATATAGAGTAATTCAAAAGATTATTATAAATAATATTGATGAAACAGTGTTACAGATATGAAATTTTCACCTAAGACTAATAATTTACCTGATTTGGTTTATTCTTTACGCTCTTCAGTTTGCATTCTAGTGCTCGGGCAGTGCTTTCAAGTTGTTTCAGGTAAACTTGCTCATTGTATTCTTTCTTTTTTCTTTTTAATTCATCATTACTTTTATCATATAATATATAAGCATTTTTCTTCTTCTTTGTTTCTTGTTTTGATGTGAATCTGCAGTGAAATATGCTTACCTTAAAATTTATTTTGTTAGAAAATAAAAAGTTCACTTTATGATCTGCCTGATCATAAATTTCTTTAAACATGCTGATTTATTACCCTAATGGAATTTCTATGTTCTCAATTTTTTTTTCATTTCTAAGTCTCACATTTTAAATTCCTCACTTCAATCTCTTCATAAAGAGAGATCTATATATATATATATATATATTTGAAAGTAGCAATGAAAAGACATAATGCTACTGAGTTTCAGTCAAGAGAACTTCTGGTGAATAGTGTAGGAAAGAAATTTTGCAATTATTCAGTAAGGTTTGAATTGAAAATTACCCTTTTTTCATCACATAGTCATAAATTACTCCTTCATTAAGACAGAGAATTAAGTTACTAGTTAAAAGAGAAGTTGCTATTTAGAAACAAGTTTGTAAGTTCATGAGATAAAATTTCAGCTTCATGAAGTATTACAGGGACTCCTACATGATCTCCAGTGGAAGATAACATCCGCAGGTGTCTTTTCCAGAACACAGATCGGCTAACTAGCATAATCCAAGGCCAGGCTGGGGAGTGTACTAGCTGATGCCCCACACTTTATGTTTCTTCCTTTGAAACACTTTGAATGTAACTTGTTGAATATTATTTATTTAGTAAATCATTTTTAAATCCCTTTTGGTACAAGGGAGGATCCATATTAAGTAATTAAAAAATGAAGAGTAATCCGTGCTTTCAGCATAGGCCTTTGAACTAATCTTATCTCTGCATGAGAGAGATGCTAAATAAACTAACCAGTAATCACTTTCCATTTTACTTTTTAGTCCATCCATTCATATGTTAAGAATCAAACTGTATAAATTTTTTTTATAAAGTTTCTGCCTTGAGAAAAATGGTCATTTCATAATTCTGCAAGTGGGAATGTAAAGTAATATAAACTTTCTGGAGGACAATTGAGAGATAAGGATCAAAGACTTTTTTTAAAGAAATATTGAATGAGGAGATATATATATATATATATATATATCGCTGTGTTATTTCCAAGAGTCTCATATTCCACAATATTAATGAAATTATCTCCCCTGTAAAATCCCAAAAGGTAAGTTAGCTATTGTAAGACTTCTCCTACATACCTACAGTATTAAAGTAAATATAAGGAGTTCAGATGTCTTTAAAACCAAGAAAGTCAGTACCTCATGCTGCAGAGCTCTTGTCCCCAATCCACATTTTGACGTTTTAACTGTGATTTTGCTTCTCTTGTTTTCAACAGCTCTGTTTGTAGCGGGTTCACCTTACTTTCCATTTTTTTAATTTTTCCTCTAAGTAGTTCACCATCAGATTCTTCAAGTTGTATTGATCTGAGTGAATGAACTGGATCCTGAATTTTCAATAACCTATCAGAATCTACATTAGGAAGAAAACAAAAATAGAAACAAAATATATGAATAATTTTTGTGTATAAAGGACTGTGCATTTTCACATTCATTCATTCATACATTGAACAAAAGGATATTGAGCATCTATAACATGGAAGACATTCTTCTAAACTCTGCAGATATTAAAAGAATGACAAAGTAATATTATGAACATTATGCAAATAAATTTGACAATTCAGATGAAGTGGGTAAAATTCCTTGAAAGAGAGAAATTACAGAAGCTCAATTAAGAAAGAACAAATAAGCTAAAAAGCCCTATATCTTAAAATCCAAAACAAAAGTCCTATTTAAAGACCTTAAGACAAAGAAAATTCCAGTCCCAATGGTTACACTGGTGAATTGTATGAAATATTTTAGGAAAATTTAATACCAATTCTATACAAATTCTCCTCAAAAAATGAAGAGGAACAAATATGTCCTCATTCTATAAAACTAACACTACCCTGAATCCAAAACCAAAGATATTACAAGAAAGAAAACTAATGTCATGAAAATGGAGGTAAAAATTCTAAACAAAACTTTAGCAAATTAAATCCAACAATACAGAGTAATTCATCATGGCCAAGTGGGGTGTTTCCCAAGAATGCAGGGCTGTTTTAACATGTAAAAATCAATGTTATTCATCACATTAACAAACTAAAAAGAAACCACATGATCATGTCAGTGGATAAAAAGAGGCACTTGCCAAACCTCAACATCTATTCCTGATAAAAACTTCCAGCAAACTAGGAACCAAGGGAATGTCTTCACTATGACAAAGATCCGTGCTAAGCCTACAGCTGACACCATATGCAATGGTGAAAAACGGAATGCTTTTCCCAGAAGTTGAGGAACCGGACAGGAATGGCTTCTCTTACTCCTTCTATTCAGCACTATACTGGAGCCAGTGCAATCAGGCAAAATAAAGAATGAAAAGACATCTAGATGGGAAATGAAGAGGTAAAACTGTCTGCTAATCAGCGGGAAATATAATTACATGGAGCGAGTCAGCTAACTCCAACCTGTGGGCTGGGATGCTTGCTTTGGTAAATAAAGTTTTACTGAAATACAGCCACATCCATTAACTTGTGTATTGTCTATGGCTACTCTTGTTGCAACAGTGACAGAGCTGATCAGCTGTGACAGCGAATGTAATTATTGGGTGCAAGTCTTAAATGTGAACTATCTTTAGTAACACAGTAGTTTAAAGAAGAAAAAGCGTGACCACTTTTGGTTACGTAGAAAACCTGAGAGAATCCATAAAAAGGCTACTAGAACTAATAAATTAGTTCAGTCAGGTTGGAGGGCACAGAGTCAGCATACAGAAATCAACTGTATTTCTATCATCAGAAACTAAAATTTAAATTATTTTAAAACAAACAAATAAGTAAAAATACACTACTTACAACCACACTGAAAAATAAGAAATACAGGTAAACATAAAAGATGGAAAGACCCAGACACTAAAAACTCTTGAAATATGACTGAGAAAATCAAGGAAGACACATAAATGGAGAAATAAACTTTGTTCGGGGTTAAAAATTTCATATTGTTAAGAAGTCAATTCTCCCCAAATTAATCTACAGATTCAACATAATGTACATCTAATTTCCAGGACACTAGCTGACTTTTTATTTTTTTTACATTGACAAGCTGATTCTAAAATTCATGTGGAAAGAAGGGTAAAAAAAGGAAAGAAGGGTAATAAAAGGAAACAAGAGGAAGCCAGAGGACTGTGGCCTTTAACCACGGAGGTATGAGAAGCAGGAGCTGGATTTTAGGCAAGGAGGTAACAAAGACCCGAATTTTAAAAACTATCTAGTAATCATGGTTGCAGTGTAGACTAAGGTTCCAGGAGCTGGAGCGGCGGAGAAGAAAGTCCTGAGGTGATTTCAGTGTTCTAGGAGGGAAGTAGTGATAACCTGACCTTGGGTGAAGGCGTAGGAGCAGCAGAGTCAACAGAAAGCACAGGGAGTGGAAACGGGCACAGCCTCTGGCTAGCAGCGCACAACTCGTCTGATTCTGCTTTAACACAGAGCAGGTTTCTGAGATGCAGTGGGCTGTAACGTAGCCGTTCTCCCTGGGGCAGCACTAGGTGCGCACATGCTACCACGAGACACTTAAAAAGGCTGTGTGGTCACACGGGGGTCCTACCTTTACTCTCCGGGCCAAGTTGTTCGATTAGCCTCAGGGTATTCTTACAGTTAGGGTAAAGTGACTCGCGATCCTCGGAAGCTGTCTCCAGTGACAGAGTTAAGTCATCAAGGCCATCCACAGAATTAATCTTCTCTTTGACCTACAAATACATAATGCTATTTCACAGTGTCTCCAACATAGTTAGAAAATATGCTCAGTGTACAGAGGTGATAAATATCCATCTTTTTATGAGAGCAAAAACACAGACACTTCTCGAAAGAACTGATTTTTGTCAAAAGTTTAACTTTATCAATAGTGTTTCTAAATTATTTTTAAGTAAATGTCTCTACAACAAAGGAGAATTTTCTGTTTTTCCACTCTATGTTTTATAATTTTTTTCACTACAGGAAAATATTTTTATAATTAACATTTTACTATACCTTGTCCTTTTTAGTAGACATTTTCTTTGAAGATCTGTAAAAAGAAAAAAGCAATTCATTTGAGCCAAACACTAAATATTGAAAATACAAGAAATATGTGAATCTATTATTTTTATATAAAATCTTTGCATTCATAATTAATTTTCAATAAAAGGGATTAAACAAAAAATTGAAACAGTAACATTAAAGGACAAAGAAATCATATCAATAATATTATTAACAGTATTAAATTTAGATCAAGTGGACAAGCAAAGGAAAAGGAAGAACATAACATTACATGTATTATTTGATAGGAAAAAATACACCAGGATTTTCTTGTTGTTGTCTTTTTCAATAAAAACTGGCTTTTATGGCAATAAAACCTATTTGGAAAGTATTACTTAAGTCCTTATATGAAAGAAACCCTTTTCTAATAACCATGATACTAGCTTTTTTGAGGACTTAGTATGCAACTGCTATGCATTACTACCAGCACTTTACATGTCTTAAAGACATTTTAAGCCTCACAAAAATCCTGGGAGGCAATAATACATTAGGTACTTTACCCAGGAAGAAACTGTGGCACAGAAAGGCTAAGTCAGTTGTCGAAGCCCCTATGTCTGCCCAGAATTCCAATCCAGGCAATCTGGCTTCAATACTTGCATTTCACAATATGCTAAGAAAGTAATATTTATTTTTAAATATTTTAACTAATGTAGCAAATGAATCTCTATTATTATTCTATGTCTAGGTATAATTACAAATAACAATTTCTGGGGCATATGTCCAGAAGGACCCCTACTTCAAAATGACACCTGTACCCCAATTTTCATAGCCGCACTATTTACAATAGCCAAGGCATGGAAACAGTCTAAATGTCTATCAGCAGATGACTGGATAAAGAAGAGGTGGTATATTTATACAATGGAATACTATTCAGACATAAAAACCAACAACATAACGCCATTTGCAGCAACATGGATGCTCCCGGAGAATGTCATTCTAAGTGAAGTAAGCCAGAAAGAGAAAGAAGAAAACCATATGAGATCACTCATATGTGGAATCTAAAAACAAAAACAAAACAAAACAGAAATACAAAACAGAAACAGACTTATAGACATAGAATACAAACTTGTGGTTTCCAAGGGGGCAGAAGGTGGGAAGGGACAGACTGGGGTTTCAAAATGTAGAATAGATAAAGAAGATTATACTGTATAGCACAGGGAAATATATGTAGGATCTTATGGTAGCTCACAGAAAAAAAAAGTGACAATGAATATATGTATGTTCATGTATAACTGAAAAATTGTGCTCTACACTGGAATTTGACACAACATTGCTAAACAACTATGACTCAATAAAAAATGTTAAAATAATAATAATTTCTGAATCTTAACACCTATTTTTTAAAACTAAAACGACTTCAGACCTAGGCAATCCTGGAAATCTACTTTTAATAAAGATTTGCTTTTGCTAAAGACATTAATCAGCAGACATTCATTATCCATTCAGCTCTTTGTTCATGCATTTGACATGTCTTTATGGAGCATGACTGCTTTTTAAATTTAGAACTTAGTAATCCAAAAGTAACCATCTGTGATAGATTGTTAATAGTTTATTATTCTATTGTACATAAACAAAATCTTCCCCTTCTTCCTAGGATCTAAACAAATATTAAGTTAATATAATCTGATATTTTACAATAGCATACAAAACCATAGCCAGTCATGATGATACTGTCAAGGACACTATAAAATCTAGAATCAAGGAATGATTAAACCCTATTCAGTAGGGCCTAAGTGTTTGTATAGTTACAATGAGTATACAATTTTTAAAAACCTATGGACAATGGTGTAACTTTAAAGTCATTATCTGCATATTCAATTGTGTAAGAATATTACACTTCAGAACTAATGAATAAGCCCTTACAACAAAACCATACATGAATAGTTTACTACAATATTTTAAAGATAACACAGTACAATCAATACACTTTCTAATATCAGAAATGCAAACAAGATTAAATTGAAAAACACGTCTATGGAATCACATCCAACAGCATACAGACATGCTCTACAAACTACCATCTCATCATTAAAAATAGAAACGGAACCCCCACAAGCCCCACGTTCCCCTTCAGTTATCGCCCAGTCCTCTCCTGCCTTCCCAGGGAATGTCCTCTGAAGGGCTGTTCACGCTCACTCACTACAGCCCGGCTTCCATGGGGACGTATTATTGAAACTACTTCTGGTCAAAGGCACTTGTCATCATCTTAACCTTTCGCCAGTGTTCCTCCGATACAGCTGAGAATTCTCTTGCCTTGGCCTTTGCACTATATGCTGCTGTTCTATTTCCAGAGCAGGTAATCACTGCTAATACGTCTTCACCTAGAAATAATCTGTGGATTTTACCTGCCACCACCTTGACCTCTTTCACTTAAACTGCTGCTGTCATTCATGTGTAGGAGACCACCAGCCAGTGAGGCAGTCTTCGCAAATACACGTGAAGTCACAGACGCTTTTAATGTCCATTTTCCACTTTCACTCTTGTTTACTTTCTTCATATGCAAGCCAAGACAGCTACTTTAAAACAATCCATAAAAAAAGCCGATTTTTAAAAAATAATTCTACTGATAAATAAAAAAATTTTTTGTAAAATTCCAACCCTTACCCATCTTCAATCATTTATTAATTCACAAAATGGTTATCAAGTGCCAACTATATGCAAGGAAACACAAATTCTTGCTTCAAAGACAGATATACAATTATGATAAAATGTGATATGCAAGAGCTGACATATGGAAAGTAAAGTGAGCATAAGGACGGCTTTACAGAAGAGGGAAATAAACAGGAGGTCATGAGCAAAAGAGACATGAGGAAATTATTCTACTTAAGAGATCAGAATGTGAGCACAAAGAATAGGCACATGGCATTTAGGTGTGTCCTAGGAACCTGGAAAGAAGAGTACAAAATACATGGAAGCAAGTAGAGAGATGAGTCAGGAAAGAAATTCTGAACAATATCTAGGAAAATAGTAATTACCTACTGCTGAATACTGATCTAGGCTTACCTATCAGAATCTCCTTTCTGCAGAGCAGGAAACTGCTGGTCATCAGTTTTTCCCCTCTTCCTCTGCCGAGTTAATCCTTTATGATAGCTGCCATCACGCATGGTTTCTGATCCTTTCAGTTCACTTTTGCTCCTGTTCTCTTCTTCTTCAACCTTTAATGAAAGTTTGATACAAAAGGTAATTATTGCTTTATTCATTATAAACACTTTGTTTTCATTCATTTTATCATTTGACTCAGAGTTTGCCCTGATTTCAATTGATTAAAATATTTTTGTGCTTATTTTAATTTTTATCATTTCAAGTCATTGAAATGTTTGTAAATTCTGCTTCTTTCTGTTTGAGGAAAAGAAATGAAATTTCCAAAATTTCAAAAAGGACTTTCTGAATGTTGTGCTCTTATATCCACTCTTCCTCATGTGAATGGCAGAGACAGAGAAATAGAAAGACAAAGGCATAAAATTTGTTCACTTCTGTCTTTACCACCTAGATTTTGTATTAAACAGCCAGATTTAGAGGATGTCACACCTTGGTGCTTCAGTAACAGACAGGAAACATTCTTCTTTCTGTGCTAAAGCTATCCTTTCCCCACTAATTTTTATGATTCTTGTTTCATTTGGATCCTGGGGTATCAAAAAGTGGTGTTTAATAAAATATACAAACCCAAGTTTACCAAAAGGAGCAGAGTGAAACTGATGAATTCCCAGTAAGTGTGGAATTCTGCAGAAGGAATAATGCTTCCCAGTTTCACATTCAATAACCATGACCATTTTATAGCTAGACGGCATAGGAGTAATGAGTGATCTACTTTAGCCCCTGTTTACTGATAATGGGAACACAACCAAGAAAGGTTAAGTGATTTGTCCAAATTCCCTAAAGCAGTATTCCCCAGCATTTTAGTGTCAGAAAAGATGATACAATTCTATAACACTGAATCTAATAAACTACCAAATAAATTAATCAAATTGATCAGATAAGTTAAAAGTGTGACTTTGGCAAAGTTGGGGGCAGGGCTCATCTCGTTTTTCTATTAAAGGAGAACACCTTCAGATTTCTATCTTTAACACTCTGCACCTCACACAAAAGAACACACACATTTTAAAAATCTATTACTAGAAGTAAAAAAAAAATCATTCAGTGCATCTCAAAACTCAAGTTTTCTCCTTTGGAGATAAATACTGAATTTTTTTTGCTGAGGGTTCATACTACCTATATGATAAAATCATACATGTCAAAACTTACTACATTTTATTAAATAATATAATGTAAGTGTCTTCCTCAACAGAAACACCCGAAAGTGGTGATTCAAGAATATGTGGGAGCACATGTATTTGTTTCTAAGAATATCTCAAAGCGGCCATGATGGAATTCTAAGTGTCCAGTGATCAGTAAGACAGATAAGCCCACACTCACTAATGCACAATACAGGATCAGTTTAGTGAGACCGTGTGCTTATGTCCCTTCTCTCAATCACTGCTTCCTTCCCGTTCTATGGAAGTGCAACTTACACTTAAGCCAACAGATTAAAACAAGTGAAAACCCTTGAGCTTATTATATTTCCTAAGCCATTTCAATTTTGTTTATTCTGGCTCAGAAGGTCAGGTGGCGCACAGCTGAATTACTTTCCCACTTCATACGAAAGACTGGCACAGAGACTTAGGTTGATTAAGGAACAAAACCCAGGAAAATACTTCCCTGAGTTCCTGTTATTTAGATGGCAGAAATAGTCCATTTCTACATGATTACATATTTAGATGACCCCATTTTATACATAGGCTATTTTCATAAGTGGAAAATCAGATCAAATATGGATCAGAATGGAAGAGATTATTGATAAAGAGAAAAAGCAGAGTAGCAGCAAAGGAACCTCTACCTCTTTCTGAAGCTGAATTTTCTTTTTCCAAAGCCAGGAATTCTACTTGTAACATGCCTACCTCATTTTTAAACCTTTGTATTCCTTGGTGTGACTCTTTTAGATATACTTTGTATGTTCTGTTACCATTTGATGGAGAAGAAATCACATTTCCTAATTCAGGGTCCGTGTTTTTAGAGTTACTAGCACTGCAGTTATCTGCAAGCAATGGCTTCTGGAGCTGGTCTTGCATTGGTTTGGTTTTCTTGTAAGTATTTGAAACAGCAGACATATAGTGACTTTTTATTTGAATCATGTGTTTC